AAATATTTACTGAGTGAAAGAGAGAGATAAGGGTCCTTAGTTCAAACTGCTGCCACAACATCCACTTAGAACGTGGGAGACAACGTTGCCGAATAAAGAGATGTCATGGTTTATTGTGCTTCATATCTGTAGCTACAGGACAATAAAAACGCTATGGAAGTGTGTTCTCCCAGAGGATGAGAAACACAGATAGCACAATGCAGTGTACTTTTCACTGTATTGAGAGAGGCTGTTTCTTAAGGAAAAGTTCTGAGGATGCTTCTGCCTGCCTGAGCTCCTGTAGGCTTTACTGCCCTTCGGTCCCCTGAGGAAGGTGCCTGCTGCACCACTTTTTTTCCAGGGGACAATGCACCAGGCTACAAAAGAGTATGTATTAGTCCCTTTTTTCTGCCCTCTCTTTTTCCTGGCCTGCCTTCCACTCCTCGCCACAGCACTGACCAGTGTTTTTCCAAATGGGATACCTGAATCTCATATGTCTCTGTTTGTGTGCATGTCGTCGTTCCCCTGAGGAAGGTGCCTGCTGCACCACTTTTTTTCCAGGGGACAATGCACCAGGCTACAAAAGAGTATGTATTAGTCCCTTTTTTCTGCCCTCTCTTTTTCCTGGCCTGCCTTCCACTCCTCGCCACAGCACTGACCAGTGTTTTTCCAAATGGGATACCTGAATCTCATATGTCTCTGTTTGTGTGCATGTCGTCGTGAAAAATCACTACTTGCATTTGTGCATACAGGCAGCGTAGTGTTAGGGCTGTTCCTGCTGCAGTTTCATCTCTTAATATTGTCAGGGCATTTATGGAATTAGCATGCATAGTTTTTCCAACACCATTAATTTTCATTGTCTAAATTAATACACAGTTAATAGGAGGGAAAGCAACAAATAAATAAATTATATGAACATTTTGTTTATGAGGTTCAACTTTTAGCTGACGACAGGTAAAAGAAATTGTTTAACAAGGTGTGCATTAAATAATAGCGAAAAAAAGGTTCTTTCTAGACTTCATTATTCTTGAATCTGGCCCTTGGTAAGTTCACTAATTTAAGTATATGACATTATAAATGCCTTAATCCATCTTTTTCAACTTCTAGAAGCTTCCATTTTGTTTCATTTGCTCAGTACTTGCTTTCAACAATCGTTTCCTGGATGCTGCTAGCTCATTCTCTATTAGAAGTCTTTTATGTTAGCTTGCATATGCTTACATGTCGTAAAAACTTTCAGCAGCCTTATGCAAATTGTGTAATATGTATACTACTGAATATGGCTAATAGAAATGTGTGAAAACTATACCTCCTACATGCAGTTGCTTGTATTCTGCCCAGATGGGATGTGTCTGTTTTTTCAGATCGTATTTTGAATATCTTCCAGTTTCAAAGCTAGACAGCCATTTTTACATGCCCTGTGCTTTCTGTGATTTTTCAATCCTCTGATCCTCTTCTCCCATCTTTGTGCATATTCATGTTGCAAATGAAGTATGCTACTAGTGAATTAGGTGAAATGGAGTAATGGAACGGAATAATTCTGTATACTTATGTAAGAAGCTGTGTAAGCAACTTCTCCCCTGCCCCTCAGGCAGGTATCTACAAGTGACTGAATCTCAGGAATAAGCTGAAATGCTGAGAGTAAGCTTTGATGTCACAGGTCATTCACTCTGCTACTGTCATGGAGGCTTCTGTGCTGTGGCCTGCTGTCTGATAGAAAATGTTCTCAAGTCCGCATGGGTTTTTCTTGAGCTTCTGTTGCATGGTAGTGAATTCTTGTCTCTACTACCTTGCTTCTGCCACGAACCTCTTCTTTGGAAAGAAGAGCATAGATTAGAATCACTTTAGATTAACGTTGCCTGAAAGAAGCAGACTTTAGAATAAACACATTTTTGTATGTGATAGTAATATCGTACAGAAAGAATCTGAATAAAATTCATTATGAGATAGGAACGTCCTAACATTAAGTAGAAGTCTGTACATCTAGTTGGTATTGCACATTGTAGTTTATACATCCACTTAGATTGCATATAAAAAATTGTGGCAGCATATAATTAACCAATACAGAACAATTTAAAGCTGCAAATGATAAATTGGCTGGTGATGTCTAGGACAAATTTGTAATTACATCAGGATTTTCCAATGAATTGTTGCTTAATTCCATGTGAATTATTGCATAAGGCATGAAGGAAGGATTAAACACGGTACTTAGCATGAGCCCAACTGTATTCTATTCTTTCACATACTTCCAGTGTGACTTCAGACAGACTAATTAACCCCTCTGTAACTCTCTTACAGTCTCTAAAATGGGTATAACCAGCCTGTATATAGGGAGCACTGTAAGATTTCAGTCATTCCTGTTTGTAAAGCACTTTGAGATTCTTAGATGGAAAGTGCTCTTTAAGTGCAAATAGAAGAGCAGAGTTCTAACCGTGCATTTTTAAAACTCTCTGCGTGTTTTTCTAATTTACAAGTCTTTTTGTTGATCATGCCATGAAAAAAATGGAGACTAGCTTGTTTTCAGTGCGATACAGAAAACACTTCTCCAAGTTAACAAGTGACTTCAAGCTCAGAACATGTAACGTCATGTATTCAGACACCTTATTTTTTGCCTTTTCTTGCAATGAAAGAAGGAAATACCCTTCATGTACAGGTGACTCATTCAAGCAAATGAAACCTGTTCTGATTTCTGAAGCTGTGTTCTAAATTTCACACATTCAATTTCTTCCAGATCACCACAGACCTGAGGCAGCGTTGCACAGACAGCCATACTGGAACCTCAGCCTCTGCACCTATGGCTGCAGGCATCATTGCACTGGCACTGGAAGCAAAGTAAGATCTGAGTTATACTCTGGAAAAAAAAAATTAAGCATATGAAAAGATCTTTCTCACTCATCCAGCACCTTTATCCAGGGATCTCAAAGTGCTTTGGAAACTTTGTTGTAGTAATTTACAGTACACTTCCGAGGGCAGGAAAGATTCACATGCGTATTTCACGTGCAGGAAAGCTGACACTGTGGAAATGACAACAGACTACTCACTGTTGAAATTACTTGAAATGGTGTTGAGCGTAGGTAGTTTCCACTAAGTGCCATACGGGATCCTCACAATGTCTCACGGTACCCTCACAGTGCTGCCCAGATCTGCTGTACTCTGCAGGCTACTGTAGGTTGCCTCTTGCTTTCATCGGGGCTCCTTGTAGCGGTGACAGTTCTTGAACATTGAGGAGGGTTTTGGGACAGTGTTAGGCAACCATGAACAGAAATTAATGTAGTAGAAAAATAGAAATTCTCAACTTCTACATGCTGACACAGGTCTGTTTTTTTCTAATCGTTTAGGTTCCTTGGCTGTAAACAACATGGATATTGTAGCTCCAAAGTCCTTTTACATTCAGCTCAGAAAAGTTTCTGTCTTACAAGCATTTTCTCAGCTGCAGGATTTTGTTCTTTGTGTCTAATATATATCTTTATTGTGCTTTATGGAGCAGCAGAAATACTGGAGATTTATCAAGTAAATCAAAACCTTTTGCATTACTTTATGCTGTGCTGGATAGAATTTGCAGGTCTAACGTGGAATGCTCTACCCCAAACACTGCTTGAAATCAAATGTTTCTAAGTGCTAGGAGATTGATTCTATTAAATTCTGAAGAAAACCAGTTTCCTCTGTGAGCAGCCAGCTCCTTTGAAGGGAGTAAAAGATTTGCAAACAATAGTAATTTCAAATTGTATGTAATTCATAGCAGCAGAATTATGTTTTCATCTTTAATTATGCTTTTTTGAGGAAGCCATGGGCCAGTATATGACCTCTTGCCTGCCTACTGATTTGAACACTACATTGAGCTGGTTTTTCCAACTGGGATCTGCTCCTGAAATCCTGGCAACAAATTGTTTTGGGATAGTGATCTGCTTACTACCTCAGTTTCAAATAACGTGAACGTATCTTTTTTCTGAATTGCATTTTCAGTCCAGTATTTGAGTATCAAGTGGATGTTTTCCTTCAGAAACCAAAGAAGTGTAACTGAGTTTCAGACTGCTTGTTTGGAGCCCCCGAGGGTCCCAGAACTGTAGATATGCAGCCCAGAAAGCCAAACGTATCCTGGGCTACATCAAAAGAAGCATTAGCAGCAGGTCGAAGGAGGTGATTCTCCCCCTCTACTCTGCTCTTGTGAGACCCCACCTGGAGTATTCCATCCAGCTCTGGGGCCCCCCAACTGTTGGAATAAGTCTAGAGGAGAGCCACAAAGATGGTCAGAGGGCTGAAGCACCTCCTGTATGAGGACAGGCTGGGAGAGTTGGGGTTGTCCAGCTTGGAGAAGAGAAGGCTTCAAGGAGACCCAATAGCAGCCTTCCAGTACCTGAAGGGGGCCTACAGGAGAGATGGGGAGGCACTCTTTATCAGGGAGTGTAGTGAGAGGACAAGGGTAATGGGTATAAGCTGAAAGAGGGCAGATTTAGATTAGATATTAGGAAGAATTTTTTTTCCTGTGAGGTTGGTTAGACACTGGAACAGGTTGCCCAGAAAATCTGTGGATGCCCCATCCCTGGAGGTGTTCAAGGCCAGGCTGGATGAGGCTTTGAGCAGCCTGGTCTGGTGGAAGGTGTCCCTGCCCATGGCAGGGGGGTTGGAACTTGATAATATTTAAGGTCCTTTCCAACCCTACCCATTCTGTCATTCCTTTGGAGAAGCCAAATTTTTAAAAAATCTTATATTGCTGGTGGAAGAATACATTATTACATCCCCAAGTGAGCTGCATGCTCCACTATCTGTAAGCCAATGCATGTTTTCAAAGCCATGGTATATAAACTGCAGTTACACTGGTAAGAAGTTGCACCTGAAATTGAAGTATTAATCTGCTGTATTTCTGCAGTGTGCTATAGTCAGTGGTATAGCTTTGGAGAGAGTCTGTTTTCCTCCATGATTCTCTTCACGTGAGCTGCATACTTCATTTGTCTTTGGTTACATGAAACCAAGGCTAGAACAACATAGTGCTGTGAAGACCTAGAGAATTTCAGTGAATTGTGATACTGGCAATCTATTCAGAACAGTGACAATGCACTGCATCCTTCTAAAAAGCAGTATAACTGAGTGTAATCACTGAGGTGAAAGGAAAATGGAGTCCGCATTGCACAGGGCAAGAGTGTCAGAGGAAGATACTTTGGATTTCTGAAAACAGATACTTGCAATACCTCCCCTATCGCCTGTCTGGCAAGGGGCAGTTTTTCTCGTAGAGAACATATTTTTGTGTCATCAAAATTATGAGGAGTTCGGTTGTTCATAAATATGGTCAGAGGCTGAAGGTGATGAGACAGTTCAGGCGAACTGTGGAAGTGCTGTCAAGTGACCTCCATACCTAGGCTTCCAGTGTAAGAGGAGAGGTTATCATCTGAGTCCATCAGCTTTAGCTAGGTCTTTCCTCCATTGATTGACTGCCTGTTATAAAAGGGGACACTAGAGTGTGTTAGTGAGAAATCTTCTTGTGAATCTTTTAATTTGTGGAGTGGTTTTAAAATAATGTTCTTAATGGTTAAATATTTGAAAAACATAAACATATATGTGTCTAATTCAGAACTTGTATTTCTCTTGAGCTTTAACAACCTGCACCACTTACGCAATTTCAGTTATTATCTTGAGATTGACTTGGAAGTATTTTCCTGAATTCAAGTTGTCCAGTGTTTCTTCCCATTTTAAGGTCCTGCTTTCAGTTACGTGTAACTTTGCCAAAGAATAATCGTTCAGTCTGAAATTTTCCATGTAACTTGCTTTAAAAAGGTTTTAAGAAAATTCCATCCAGACATTTCTTAAACTCAGTCTAGTTTAAGAAAAAAAAAAAAAAAGTTTGACTGTGATCATTTTTAACCTTTTCATTGAGTTTTTACTGTGTCTGTACTTTGGAGCAGCAGCTAGAAATAGAACAAGTGGATCGCCATTGTGCTGGTGCCAGGGCAATGCTTTTTACTTTCATAAGCTTTTCAAAAATCTCAGTTGGCATGTGCTCAGATGAGAGTTTTAAGAGTTTGGCAGCTCTCCTCCCTGTAGTTTCTTGGTTCTCCAGGTGTTCCTCAGCCTCAGCTTTTAGAGACTGGTTAGGGTTGTCTCTGAAGTTGCTCTTAGGGGTGCTGCTGGCTGTTCACCTTAAGAGCAGGAAGCCACTTGTGTTCTTGCAGTGCGAGGAAAACGAGGAAGGTGGAAGGAGCAGATTTGCTGGATTGCAGTCTTTGTGCAGTCTTTCTTTTGGTTTCCTTATGCCTCAGTGTTGTAGCTCAACTATATTAAAAGTGATCAGTATCACTGCACTTGGCAGATAGGTCAAATCAATAGCCTGGGTACCACACTAACCACAACTGCCTGCATCAACCTAAGGTAATGTAAGACTTCTCCTCATGCACAGTCACAACTGGTTCTAAAACTGGCAGCTGACCTAAGGTTTTTGTTGCTATTTCTTCCGTGCTGCTGTCCCTCAGCGGACTGTGCACACTGTCTTTTAGGTGGTCCCATTTCATTCTTCCTCTGGAGAAGGTACAATAAGGGATGTGGTTCAAGTACCTCCCTCTCAAGGGACTTCTCCTCAGAAGGTCATCATTATCAACCTGCGGTTGGGCCACTGATTGTTTTGTTTTTGGCACTTAGGATTTTCTGTCTCTGGGAAAAACATGATATTCTGTAGGCTCTGGGTCTGCCACCACTGTGTGGACTGCAGATTTGACACAGGTACACCAGAACAGCATGGCTGGTGGACGTATCACTGCTTCTACTGCTGTTCATCTAAAGGAATATATCTGTCACGTCATAGCACAACTTGTCTATATTCTATCCTAAAAAACAATATGGAGATAACCCAAAAGATGGTTGTAGCCAACCTTCAAACACTAACTCATGAAGAAACTAGGATGCATTGTAAAAGCTGTGGAGATGCTGCACAAATATAAACTGAATTACATAAAGTAGAGCCAGACATAAACTGAGGAAGGTTATGTTGTACAAGCAAATGCTATTACCTTGAAAAGATGTTCAAAAAGCTATAGCTTTGAATGGAAGATTCTGATATTGTAGAATTTGTCAATTTGAGACATTTACGATCAATATGTTTAAAATATGAGTGATGTACTGAAGGTAGTGACTGTTGAAATGAACAGATCCAGTGTGCCTTTCCACAGTGAAACTTGACGAGTATCAGAACACTTCAGAATGTAATTGGTTTAAATTATGTTCTTAATGACTTTTAGTCCAGAATATGTTTTCAGATGTGTACCCCTGCTCTTTTTATGTCCAGTACCTAAATTAAGCTATTAATGGAAAAAGAGGAGGAATGTGACAATTAGTGTAAAACGCTACTGAGAACAATTTTGATGCTATAAAGATATTTTCCCAAAATTTCATTAACTGTACATCTCTTTAGGCAGAGGTCTATTGCATGTGCCATTAACACTGATAATTACTGACCTTTGACTTACAGTATTTTCAGTTGCCATTAATTTTTTTAAGGGATTGTCATCTTTAGACAGGTTTGGGTTTCTTTCAAAGGGACCTCACTCGATAAAATACAAATCAGAAATTAGCAGGAGAAATGGCAAATTTCTGAGAAGCAATCTGGAACCTGGAAAAGAAGTGTGAGCAAAGAAGGAACTGAGAGCTAACTCTGAAGTAACGAAATGGTTTTGTTTGATACACTGCTTGAATGAACAGTAGCTTATCAAGTAAGAAAATTAAAAGACCACTAGAGCAGAAACTTAAGTTTACAGAGAAGAGCTACATGCTGATCAGCAAGCACATAATATTCTTTACTTTTCTATCAAGAAGTTAATAGTATTATGTGCAGCATGTGTGACAATTACAACCTATAATGGTGTCACAGACATGTTAAAAACATGTGTTTTGTATGTCCATGCGTATGCATGACTGGATTGTTAAACACTGGCATCCACTTTTGTGTCTTCTTATTTTCAGTAATTAAATTATTATGGTGTAGACCGCTTAGACACCTAAGCACGGGATAAGCACAACAATTAGAGGCTATCTTCATATCTTATCCCTCTAAAAATTCTGTGCTGCAGCAGGCATCTTCACTCTGACTCTTTATGCAACCTGGGAAAGAAAAATGTGTCCCATTAACATAGCTAATATTCCTGTCCATGGAGCTATATATTGGAGTCATCAGGACAGGTAGTAGGGTTGTAGATCTCATGGGACAATTTGGCTGATCTGTAAGTGACGGGAATGTGTGAATAAACCAGGCAACTATTTCTCATGTTTTGTTTATAAATTTATCGTAAAGCCCTTACGGGTGGCATTATGCAGAAATTAGCAATGAAAATTATCTCCTGCTGCTCTACAAGATGTCTAGGGCATGGAGACTCCTTTTTATAGCAATAATTATCCATATCTGTTCTCTCATAGCCAGGATTTCCAAAGGTTATTTGATACTTCCAAACTGAATCAGGGTCCTCTTCTTAATGCACCCTGTGATATTGTGTTTTTTCCTTCATTCTTTGGAGAAAAGTTTATTGTATTCCTCCAGCAACTCTCATCAGACTCTGCTATTTTGGCAAGAAATATTTTTTTCAGACCTTTGTCACATTCAAATTGCTGGTTATGAAGATAATGTAGCACTCATTATTCATGTTGCTAACCATAACATTTTGCTAAAAAAAAACAGACCCTATTTGTTTGTTACAATGAGTGATATTTTTTCCTAATTTTCTGTCTTGCACCAGTTTTTTATTCCGAGCAGTTATTTTTGTCACAGTATCGTTATATAAAAGGATAGAGCTTGAATTCTTTACTGCTTCCAGGATTAGCCCAGTTGTGACTTGGGAGACTACTTGTGGAATGAAGAAATCAGATATGGCCAAAAATTATGGCCTACTGTTTCTAAGCAGCCTGTTTAAAGATAGTTAAATCTTAAATTAATATTAATGTAATATAATTTAATAAATTTGTCCCATTTCACTTTTTCTCATTTACCTTGTTGCGTAAACTTTTTGAGAAGTCTGAAGGAAGAGGGCTACCGTAGAGTATAACTATTGGTTAAGGACACAACATTCATTATTTTTTGGCTGCTCTACAAGCACTTTTGTATGTCATTGTTCTCACTTCTGCTTATTCTGGTTTGATTTTGAGTATTGTCTGCTATTTGTAATCCCAAGGCAATTTCAGATGAGACATTGAAAAAAACTTTTCTGGAAGGAAACTGCCCATATTTTGAAATCAATCCATTATCAAGCAGAGTTAGTACTGTTCTTGTTAATGCATTTGTTCATTTCAAGATGTTTAGCCATTAATTCTTCTGAGATTAATCAAGTGGTAAAACAATTAACATCTCAATGACATCTTGTCTGGATCTGGGGCCCACATGGCTAGCAAACAACTGTTTACTCATTTAGGATTCAATTTTGACATGTTTTACAAATATTTGACCAATTCTCTGATTTTTCCAGATGTTTTAAAATTGGCTGCTACACTATCTTCTTTTAAAAAACCCAAAACAAAAAAATCCCTCTTCTTTCTCCAAATTATCTGCTATTTTGATATCACTCCAGTTTCTTTCTTCTTTTTTTCCTTTTTTTTGTTAAAGTTTCTGAAAAAAAAAATATGGTCAAACAATCGCAAGCCTATTTTTTAAAAATTAGGTGTCTATTGTAGAGAGAAAAATTCAATTTGTCAATAGCTCAGTTCTTACTATACTGAAGGTCCTATAATAGGCTACAGAAATTGTTTTGAATATTGTTCTTATGCTGTTATATCTCTTAGATATAAAAATACCCAAACTTCCATTACTTGAGAAGAAAACATAAAAATCTCATGAATAAAACAGTAAGCAAGCAGATTTGGAGGTTGCATAGGAGACAGATTGATTTAACTATATACCATGTCATGTCCTGGAAATCAGACCTTTGATCAAGGTTTTCTGCCCCAGAAATTCTTGCATTATTTTTTATGATTAGATAAGGCTGGTAGATACAACAGTGAATGGCACAGTTTTCAAGATTCTGAGACATAATCTCATTTGCTGACTGAGCAAGTAAGTGCAATTTGTGAGAGGTTAGAATTATCAAGTGAAGACGACTATATCTTTAGATCCTTTATCTAGGCATAGTTAGATCCACTATTAGATCCATCGTTCCTCTTTAAATAATCATTTGACTGTGCCTTATCTTGAACCTCTGCTTTGGAAGTTGAGAGTGTTTTAGTGCCTTATTTTTCACCTGTAGTATGGACAGCTTTCTTTATAGAATAACAGATTGTTTAGATTCCAGATTATAAAGAATGCAGCTCTTGGGATTCCCGGAGGTCTTCCTGAAGGCCTGAAACATGTTTTTCTAAGACTTTACACAGGCTCCCAGTGAAATTCCTGAGCCAGTATAAAATCATATTGAGTTTTTTTTCTTGAAGTATGTTACGTGACTGTCCAAGCATATCCTGTCTTACAAACCCTTTGTGCTCCTTACATTCCATTACTTTTTTTAACTTTTTTTCAGTCATTTTTACCAGCTCAGGTGGATAAACAATTACTCATTCTAGTCCAACACAGTTGTCTAGTGTGAGAAATTCCACTTGAAGAAAAAGAATGTATCTATGGGCATATTAGTGCTTTAATAAATGCTCAGGGACAGAAGACACCAGCTGTCCTTAAAAATAATGGAATAATTCAAACATGGAAATACCTTTCTATCTTGCAGACAAAAACACAGAGAAATTAAATGGCTACGTGAGTGAATGTCCTATATGTCCCAAGTTTTTCTCTCCTGTGTGAAATTATGGACCATGATTCTGAAACTGGTTTCATTTTCAATAATTCCACCAATGCAGGTGAACTTAAATTGGTTATTACCCATGAGTATATGTCTACATGCACACAGAGGATGGGGTAGGAGCAAGTTTTTCTATAAACGAATTTACTGCAGGTTGGCAATACCTTTTGCATCCTTACTGCCTTCTCCTAAAGCAGCAGCTTGTGGAAGCTGGAATTCGTCCCCTGAAAACCTGAACTGATGCATCTTGAAGGAGAAAGAAGGTGCTCATTTTTTTAATAGATTAGCAGATATATTCACTGATTGCTTCCTAATATATTGATTTCAGCTCACAGGATAAGCAGGATTCTACTTCCATATTTAAGTACCATAAAGTGCTGATTACTCAAGTATTTCCAAAAATATATTATTTTGACAAATTCTGGAACATGTGAAACAATGTGTGCAGGATGCCAATCCACACAACGTTCATTTGTGTACATCAAACAGACAGATGATTGAGATTTTTCTGTGTCTTCCACAAGATATTTCTCCATGTTTGTTGTTATCCTGTGTCTGCTTTCCAAGGAAATTTCTCATTGAAATTTCTCGTAACTTGACTATCAGTCAGTTTAAGAGTGTAGAGTTGCTCCATGTGATGACAATGTCGCACTCACCCCAGAGAGTAGCCCATTCACAATCACCCATGGGTTGACCTTCCCCACACTCTTGTAGCTGTTGCCTTGCTGTAGTTTCTACCTGCAAGTGGAAGCAGACCCAAGTGAAAAGATAAGTGCTGCGAATAAGTGACTTGTCTGCCAGCCCAAGTGACTTCTAGGTCTGAGAGACAAAAGAGCATGTGTTAAGGAACTGAACCAAGATTTCCCAGGCTTTCAATGACTACCTAGTCCTGGACAGTGTAGACAGCCAATGCTGGGTCTGATAAACTTCACAGTGGTCCATCTTCATCATTACAACTGAGTGGAGTTTTGCAATGAGTGGAATAAGGGCTCAGTTTATAATTCCCTCTACTGAACTGCATTTTGAAATGAAATATTCTTCATCTTCTTACAGATGACAGAAAAAATCAGAAATTGGAAGGAGAATGAAAAATTACCCCAATGATAGCCATGCACCGTTAGACTGTCTTCTAAGAAAGAAATTCTCCTTAGGATGGATCTAAGAGAAATGAGAAAACAATACTCCCCAAAGATTTTCTCTAGTTGTCCAAGATAAATGCGTATTAATGTCATAGTGAGGATGCAGGGGCATTTTGTTTCACCTTCCCAGTGGACAGATTATTAGGGATCCCTTAAAGGAATACACATCTCTGCAATCAGGCACTTGCTTTGTAACTATTCAGATTCAGTGCTGGCTGCTAGGTCTCACTGAAGACAACACATAGAACCTCAGTGAATTCCAAGACCGAGGGTAATAGACAAATTAATAGCAGCAGGAGCACTTGAAATAGCTTCAACGGGAGCTGAAAGTCCAAAGGAATTTGACAGCTTGAGCATGAAGTTAGTAAGATTTAGTAGAATTTTTCAGCAAGCCAACATTTTGCCTTTTTTTACTTTGCACTGGTCAACGCACATAACATAGAGTAGTTGATGGTCATACAAATTACCTCTGTGTGAAACATATTCCTTCATCTACCCTTAAGTTTTATATAATAGAATATTATCATATGTCATTATAGTCAGCTTAATGCAAACCTCCCAGATGTATACATAATTTCTTGTAGTAATTCTGTAAAATTAGAACACATCCTTTTGAGTGGAGCAAAGGAAAGCAGAGAAAAGAAATGAGGGTTGTTTTGGTTTGAATATTTTTTAGCTTACAGGACCTGGTATCCCTACATTCTGGTAAAATATGTCTGATCTGTGGCTTTTGTCTTTCACTTTTTTATAGTCCATTTCTGACCTGGAGAGACATACAGCATATTATTGTCAGGACTTCACGCGCAGGACATCTGAATGCTAACGACTGGAAAACCAATGCGGCTGGTTATAAGGGTGAGAGCTTCCTTTCTTCTTTGCCATCAGAGGAAATGCCTTACTTGATGTTTTTGATGAAGAAATAATCTCAAGTAGTTTGTTTGACCCTATGTTGTGCATAGTTTTGAGACCTTTCAGGCTCAAACTGAAGGTGCCTATCTTCTCTTTTATAAGGAAAACCTCTTAAAATAAGTAAACCCAAAACCAGCAGCTACAAAATGCATTGGCCGGTTCTTAGTCCCGTTCACTCCTATTTCGTGCACTGCTGGCAGAAAAATAAGTATATTGCTGGTTTTTTAATTTTTCCTTGTGTATCAGTGTTGTGATTAAATAGTCTAGAGTTGAAGATAACAGCAGTTTCTGGATTCAGACCGTGTTTTCATTCAGAATTGCTAAGAATTTTGATTTATAATGACAAAACAGTATTTTCAAATTTCTGGTTTGTGTGGTGTACCCTACATTATTTATATTTAAGATTTCTGTCAACAAAGCTATGAGGACTTTTAATGGGACAGAATTCCTACTATCCAGGCAGCTGTCCTGTAGGTTTCTAAAATTTTGTACAGTCTTGTAATTTTGTATTAAAGCTACATCTTTTTATCTTTCTCTTGTCTTTTCTAATGCAAGTAGAGGTAAAGATTTGTGCCGTTAAATCAGATATATATTTTTAGGATGGGTTAAAATTGGACCTTGAATCCATACAATGTCATATTTCAACACAGATTGCCTTCTGATTCCTGTTCACTAAATTCTTACTGCTTTAAGTTTGGATTGCATCTGAAAAAAAACCCAGAATGGCTTATTTCTGATTCCCTTTTCATGGGAAGTCCACCCAAGATCGCAGTACATCTTTTAAGATGAGATATGAACTGGTTTGTGCTAAGATCTCCTGAAAGAAGAATGTAATATACCAGAACCATCAAATCTTTACCCTCCTTTCACTTTAAAACTGAAGCCTAGCTTTAATCTATTTGAGATCAAGGCACTGCTACTATAGAGCATCTTTAATATATCATTTTGACCTATGACATTTCTGCTGCAATGCAATAGAAACCAAACCAAAAAAACCTTTCATTTTTGGATCCAAACCAGGCTCAGAGGGTAGATACAGAAATGGGTATTTGACTCGAACCCCCTCATCATGTAAAGGTACTGACATTCAAGAGCCTGGTTCTGCCCCATTTACAAGCGCATGCCCACACACAAAAACACATACATGGTGAAAAATAGATACTTCATTAATTGCAATACCATTACAGTATTAGTTACTGTGGAACATTTCTCAGGATTTAAAAAGTTTTGGCAGGAGATTGTGACTTGTACTCTCATTATGTTGGAGCTCTCTGAAATTCAAACAGTGCTTTTCAAGTAGCATAAAGCAGAGCATTTTTTTTCTGTAACTCACTTCCAAATTCTATATTTTTATGTTTTTCCACGTGTTGCCCAAGAGAGGCAAACACCCTGTGAGGCATTTCACAGCAGCTGTCACTCATTATCAAAGAAGAGGTCACACTAACACACGAGCAGTAGCAGCATTGGCAGCAGGACTTGCACTGTTGCACCACTGGAGCCTGCTTATTCTGAATCCTTGGAGCCACATGTTTTTCTGTGCATTGTAGCAGGAAAATCGTGAGAAAGAGGGCTGAAAAGAGGTTTCTCCTCCACTTGTGTAAAATCACAAACATAGATAAGCTCAACTGGTGGACTGGGATTCAGGAAATACAATTCAAGCTGGCAGAGCTCTGCTGTAGATTTCATGGTGGAATTAAAAAAGAGGAAGACAAACTAAGTGCTCAACCTCTGTGGAGCTCAGGAATCAACTTTAACCCAAATAAAAGCACTAGTTTTAACTACATTATTTTGGCAACTTAGGCTCAGCAAATGGTTCCAATAAAAATGCAGCTCTCTCTTTAAACCTCTGTTGGTTTTGGAAGAAGGAGAAGCAAAAGATTTAGATTAAATCACAACATTGAAACCTGAATTCAAAAAGGGGTTTGCACACCGCTGTTCGCAAGACTGAAACAGGTTTTTTACTATTGCACGTGGCAATATTTAGTATAACATTACACTATTATCCTTCACTGTTGCCAAAAGTAACAATTAAAGCATGGTTTTTCATAGATTAATTGCTCTGATCAGACTGTGTTCCTTAAGGAATTGTACCATAGTTTTGTGAATGCAAGATCCATATTTCTTGCACAGCATGTTCTTAACAAAGGAAGGGGTGGAAGTTTGTTGTGGTTTTTTTTAATTAACTAAAGTAATGACAGTCACAAGAAACAATCTGCCTTTTTTCCATGCATACTGGGGAAGAAAGAAAAAAGCAAGGAGAAAGAGAGAGACAGGCTTGCTCCTTTAGAAATGAGAACTGAAAGGGTGGAAACAACAAAAACTTGGAAGAACCTCCCACTCAACAAAGGGCCAGCAAGAGTTGGTAGTTGAAAGTGGGTCAGCATGCCTTTTCAGGGGGCTGTTTTGCTAGGCTGCATGGCAACCCTCTCCCTTGCTATAGTCCCTGGCAGTGTTTTGCCATTGCAGAACACACAGAAGGAGCTCACAGATGTCACTACTGGTTGCAAGATTGCAATTTTTTTCTGTCTTATATTCATCAAAAGAAAGATTGATTCATGAAAAACACTTGAGCCAGCTAGTGATTTACTAAAGCAGTGCCTGTTATTTGTTTGATTCTCTGAGAAGTAAATAACATTCATTAAGTGCATGTCAATAGAATTAACTCAGGAATGGGCAAGAATTATTTCTTGGTAATTTTTTAATTGCTTTTTTGTTGTCAGCCAGCCTGTATTGTTCCTCAGGAACTATTACCTGGTAGTTTCTAAAAGAAAGACTTGAATACTCATTTGGGAATATTCTCTGGTCAGTCAGTTGTACGTATAATTTGTCACTGGATAAAGAGATACATTATACTCAATTTCACTTCAAAATCAGAGGGGTTTTTTATAATGAAAGCAGTTGATTAACTGATTATATGGAAAAATACTAGAGAACATCTGTTTCTGTAAATATATCACAATTGTTGATCTGTTTTTGCTGTGGCAGATTGGTATGCAAAGGCTCCCTATTCTGTCAGTTGTTTGGTCAACAACAGAGCATGGAACTGCATTCACAAAAAGGGAATGCTGCATTAATGCTGACTTGTCTCTAGGTTGAAAGATACAGACGAAACTGCATTTTTAAGTACAATGATCAGATCATCTGAACATCTTTTACCTGTAAGTGAAGTTCCAAATACTGTCAAATTCTGACTCTGGGGAAACAGGCCGTTTGCAGAGAAGGAATACTATTAATTTGCAGAGAGATTCATAGAGAACTTCCTTCACTCTTCCTGGCTCTAAAGTGTAAACAATAACACTTCAATACAAGAAGTGAAGTAAAATGCTACTGAAAGATAAAAGGAAATAAAAACTCTAGCCACCTTTTTTCATTTTCAGGCCATTCCCAGGCCCAGTAGAGGGGACCTGTTTTCTTTCTGCCTTTTGTTTTGTTTTGTTTTGTTTTTCCTGCAGAAGCCAAGTCATCTCATTTGCCAGGGAGTAACAGATTACCAGAGTCATGGCGCATCCCTTTAGGTTAGCCAAAGTATCTGCTGCGTCCACTAGAGACTGACCAGTGGAGAGAACTGATTTTATGGCCTTTTAATATAATTGCTTAATTACAGTATTTAATAAAACTGGTGATTATTCTTGTTGTGAGCAGAGCATTACCAGTCTGGGAGTGAGAAAGAGATGAGCCTTTCTGTGCTCCTAGATAGGAGAGCTAGATTGGCCAGATATAATTTGCTGTAAGGTGACCAGTAGCCAGGCACAAATGCAGAAACCAGCAAGAAAATCTTCACAACAATGTGTACATTTCAGAGAAGACAAATAAACTGTTCATAAACACCCTGCTGCATATTTTCAATAACTTTAAAATTATATTGTCGGGAGCTGGCATAAGACCTTTGAGAAAATCAAGCACTTGTGAATGGGTGTGTCAACCAATCAAAGCTGTTCATCTGTCAAAAGACCTTCCAGTCTTACAGATGCTAACTGATATTTTCACGTGCCATTAGCAACCAGTATCAACTCCTACCCACCCCTAACGCTCACACCCACGGTGCACAGAGCAACTGAAACATAGGCTTTGAATTTGGCTGTGGTAATATCCCAGTTTTGTGTAGCTGGCAATCTGACACCAAACACATGAAGTTGTATTGGTCTTTCTAGGAGTGAGGAAGACTATCCTATGCAAGCTAGACTAATGATTTTTTGTGCATGAAAGATTAAGCTGATATTTTCAGGCAGACAACTTAGAATGCTTTTATAAGTTTCTTCTTCAACTTGTTGACAAATGTGGGCAAATGCCAGCTATGTCACATGTGAATTCTGTCTCTTGCTCTCTCAGGGCTGTGTTGGCTTGAAAGCAGTGTTTCCTCACCAGGAATACTCCTAGTTGCCATGTCTCTCTGCTCTGCTCAGCAGGCCTGTAGCTTCATTGCCAAGCCATGAGACAGAGCTATTTCTGCAGCTCTACACCGTGCAGGGAAACCCTTTAAGCCTGATTTTCTGTCCAAATCCATTAGTCCTTGAAAAAGGCTCCAGCTTAGTAGTGTCACTCTCTAAACCACTGGTGTAATGATAACATCATCAGAAGAATCTGGCATCTGGAGTCCAGACATTAAGCTACAAGTTTTTAAGGTTGTGGGAATTACATTTGTCAAGAAACAACCATATAACATACCATTTCCAAATGTGAGATACACAAACCAGAACCTTACTGAACAAGGTTTTTCATGTAGGCAGTGATGAAGTTGCAATAAGAAGTCGAAGGGCAATCAAAAGGGACTTCAAGGCCTTGGGACAACTGGTTAAGGGATCAGGAGCACAAGCAGTGTCCCTTCCAGATGCAGGGAATGATGAGGGAAGAAACAGAAAGACCCAGCAGATCAATAACTGGCTTTGAGACTAGTGTCACTGGCAGAAGTTTGGGTTTTTTTGATCATGAGTCGGTCTACATAATAC